CTGGGTTTGTTCATCCCATTTGTTCTTGACAAAAGAAGTTGTATGAAACACAAAGAAAGCTCAGTGCCCTCACAATTTTATTCTGTTTAGAGGGGGAAAAATAGTTATTTTTCTTTGTCAGAAGTGTTCTTGTAAGGAATCACTTGAGATTAAGGCAAGAGGGGATGTTTCAGGATGTTTCACCCAGCCTCTGCAGCAGTGTAAGCAAGCAGCTTGTATAATCCAGCTCATAAACTGCTTGAATTCTACTGTAAAAAAACATTCAGCTTTTTTTTTTTGGTCTTCTTTCACAGCTGCTATTTGAAGACTACTACAAAATCTTAGTTTTTAAGACCAAAATTATTTCCTTGTTATAGCTGTTCTTGGAGAATCCCTCCATGGATAGGCAAGGGCTGCTATCCCTGTCTCTTACAGAATTTACTCAGTTGAGATGGGGTCAGCAGGATTACCCCTCTTTCAGCCCTCACATTCTCATGGACAATGAATGAGCTGTAAGATGAGAACCACATTGATGCCTACTATGGAAAGCAAGGGCACAAAGTCTTGCATGCCAAACCTCCGCCAGTATGGAGTGCATGGAAGAAGTATCAAGGGAGAGTGCAATTTACAGGTGGATGGATGGATGGATGGATGGATGGATGGATGGATACATTGGGAGGCAAATAAACCCTTCCAAAAAAATTAATCTTTAATTTGTCAGAGCCTCCTTCTGCCCAGGGATCACGTAGAGGGTGTGAGGCACCTCTCGGAAATCAGAAGCAGGCTCCTGCTGAGTCCCTTGGGATGGCCCTGTCCTCGCAGGGCTAAAGTTAACCTGAACAGGGGGTACAGTGAATGCCAATGCACTGCTTGTTTCAGTGTTGTAGGATGGGCAGCACCTGGGACTGCTGAAGAAAGGTTAAAACTGCCTCTAATGGACACATGGCAGAGATTATGTAGATTTACGTGGAGCCTTTGCCTGGAGGCAGCCCAGTGAGAGCAGCAGGATGAGTGAGTGTTCAGTGGGGATTGTGGATGATCCCCTGCAAGCCTGACCTGCACTCCAAAGACTTTGCAACAGCTGATGCCACCTCAGCCTCCCTTTTTCTGTCTGGCAAGGAAGAAATGACAGTCCCCAGCCAATTTTGTGGCTTAATTAATATTCGTTGAACAATGTGTGTAAGTGATGAGTAATGTTTTAGTGTATTATTAATTTCTTGGGAAAAACAGAGGGCTGCTCAAGAGCTGTCAATGCCCACTCTGGCAGCCACAAAAATTTGGTTGGTCGTGTTCCCAGCAGAGAATGCCGACATTCTGGGGCTGGCTGGCTCCCTGCAACCCCTTGGTGAGGGATGGAGGAACATCCTCTATGCCTGCACTGGTGTCCCTTGCTCCTGAAGACAGATACAATCCTGATACTAAAATGCCTCATTTGCTGTGACCAAGGGAGGATCAAAATCAACTACCTGGAGCTCAGCTAAGCCCTGATCTGTGCTGGTGTGGAAAGTGGGCACTGAATTTCCCCCACCTCAGCCCATTCTTCCATTTCTTTGCTACCTGTGTCTGTTCTAGTCGGAGTTCCCCTGTGCTGACAAAAGCTCAGAGTTCGCAGTGTGGCACTGCTGGGACATCTGACCCAAGGATTCTGCGTTCGAGCCAAGCTTCCAGCGGACACAAGCAGCAGAGCAACAGGTGGGTCACTCCCCCTGCTCCCCTCCCCTCGTGCTTTTATGTGCTTTGTTCCCCACCAGTGGGATCAGACTACAATGACAACAAAGGCAGCTTGAGACGCAGCCCAAGTCCTGAGAGTAGGGATTACATCCAGCTGGTTCCTCTCTTGGATCACTTAGGGCCATGTACACACGAAGGTCTTGTTCTGCCCACTCATCTCTCGGGGAAGCAGGAGCAGGTGGGAAGATAGCTCAGAGTGCTACATGGAGGCAGCACGTTTGGGTGAGGAGGAATGGGCCCTAGCGCAAAGGGTACCGGGAGAGTTAAAAGGGAGAAGGAGGAAAAGCTGCGGGGAGAGACGCAGAGGGAAGGAGAGTGCCCGTCCCTCCGCCCCTCACCAAGGCCCGGATCACGCCGGTCCCACGGCGCGGTTTGCGGCAGGGCCGCCAGGGGGCGCGGCCGGGCCGGGCTCCGCGGCTCCTCCCGCCCGCCCTCCCTCCCTCAGGGCCGCGGCCTCGGCCCCGCCTGGCGGGCGGGAAATGGGCAGGAGAGGGGGACAGGCGGCGTGCGGGGAAATGTGTGTCCCGTTCTGGGCTCCGCGGTACGTGAGAGACGTGGAGCTCCTGGAGCCGGTCCAGCGGAGGGCAGCAGATCCGCGGCAGCCTCGGTGCTGCGGCTGCACAAGGCGTTCCGCATGTCGGACAGACAGACACCTGGCTGGGTGCGGCAGGACAGGGCAGGGCAGGGTAGGCTGCTCACAGTGGTTTCCTGATGGAACTGGGCTGGCAGGGCTGAACTGGTGTAATTGATACGGCTTTGGGACAACTCATACTGGTTCTAAAGTCCATATCGATTTCCATGTATTTGGAATGCCGGAATAATCCATACAGTCCATATAATCCATGCAGTCCATCTCTATGAAGCTTGAGAATTACTGTATTTAGTCAACTGTAATTCTGAAATGTTCTTATTTTTGAACCTTGTCTTAACTTAGATTTGTTTCGATACTTACACAAAAATTGTTTTTCTGTGTATGTGACAGTTGTCTTTTAAAACAGCTGTTAAATACTTCTTATGCTAAAATGCAGGGTTTCACACCTTCCTCCTCATTAGGCCATGTTTTCTTAAAAAATTCCAGTTGGATTTGCTGCTACCTGCCCTCTCTGCTACAGCCCTACAGGGAAAAGAAGGTGAGGAAATGTTACACTTTTCCAATGCCTCTCACTTCCCAGTGGGCAGAGCTCGTTTGGTCTGCACCTCCCCTGGGGTGTATGGGCTAACATCTGACAGATGCCTCAGCACCAAGCCTGACAAAGTTCAGGAAGCATTTGGACAATACTCTTGGACACAGGGTGTGATTCTTGGGGATGGTCCTGTGAAGGGCCAGGAGTTGGACTTGATGATCCTTGCGGGTTCCTTCCAAGTCAGAATACTGTGTGATTTTGTGATGTGATGTATTAGTTTGGAGACAAGGAAGATGACCAGCACTGCAAAACCCTCTCATTCACCCCTTATTTGCAAAGTCTCTGTACTTGTGAAGGGTGCAGGCTGGTGTCTGGGCCAATGGAAAGTGTCTCCATGGTGCTGCAGTCTGTGCAGGCAATGCAGGCTGCATCCAGAGGGATGCTGGAGGGCTCACCCGCTGAGCCTTAGCCAGCCATGCCACTTGCATGGCCACCAAGGTCATTGGTAAAAAGGACTCATCTTATTAAGCTGTGAAAATGCCATTTTTGGCACTGTTATGGGGAGCTGACAGACTTATTCCTGTGCAGGTCATCCCTCAGCACCTCCCTTTCCTGAGGATCCATGTTCATGGAACATGAGGGGAGCATCTCTGGCAGACCTTGGCAGTGCTCCTGGTTCAGAGAGAATCCTGCTGGGAATGAAAGGACTTGTTGGCATACCTGCACTGGTCCTCCTCCATCATCCCCTCCCTGCTCTGTGGTCAGTCAATACAAGGAAAAGGAGATAAATTCTACTGAGTAGGCTTGGAGACTTGTTTCTGTTAAATTAGTCTCTTCCATGGACATTGTTGGTTTGTGGAGCTTAGGGTGGAGTAGGGCCCCCTTGTTCTTGAGGCCTCTAGGGTTGGTTTTTGAGCTCTTGTTGACATTTGCACCTTCTCCCACCGGGAAAGGGGGGCTCTGGACAGCCTGAGCCTAATGCACCCTCATACCAGGGACAATGGTCTTAATTTCTGTGCAAGCAGCTGATGTGATGGTGACACAGGAGGCTTGGAGAAGTGAGAGAGCATCCAGGGCTCACCTCTCTTCTTAGAAATGCAAAATGTCTTGTCATGTCCATTGCCTAGTGGGAATGATGTGTTCCTCAATGGATGTTCAAAAGGTTAAATAATGAAATACATCTGGAAAAAAGGACTGCATATACGAGCTACATCATCTCATGTGATGCATTTAATGTCCTTAATTTACATGCTGACAACTTTGCCATTTCTAAACAATGTTATCATTCGTCTTTCTGATAATTAATCAGCACAAGCTTCAAACACTGTTTATCACACTTTGATGCAGCAATTAGACAAGAAAGGCAAAGTGTTGAAGGGAAGGTTTTGGGCTATTTTTTTCTTCAAAAATCTTACAGTATTTACAAAGAAGTGCTTTTTCTAACACCATTTTTAGAATTATTCACTCATTCACAATCATTGTATAAAAACATCATTCAGAAATAGGTTTTAAAATACACCCACCTCCATTGCATAGTATACAGAAAAATAGGCGAGAGTTAAGACACTTGATTTTTGAATGAGAACGTGAATTGATTCAGAGGTATGACATTTCTGAGGAAGAAAGATGCAATTTCTAAAAAATAATGAGCTGTAGTTCTCCTGAAGCTAGCGAGCTTCTTGAAGATCTGCCATCAAATTTTGCTTTTACAGACCAAGTATCTTTTACCATACACACAATGCTTGCATTAAGGTCAAACAAATCATATTGCAATTGGATTTACCCTTCAGTATTTGCATGTGGACCCTGACAAAAATGAGTTACACAAAGTACTCACAAGGATCAGTGTTGGTTTCATGTGTCATGGCCCATCCATGGAACAACTCAAGGGATCCAATTTGTTATTTTCAGTTTCTGTTTGTATAACTGAGGAGCTGAATGTACCCTTATAGCTTTAGAAACATTTCTTCTGTAAGAAGACCTTGGCTTCTGCTCTCTGGTAAGACTTAAAATGGCACATTGTGGAGGGGTTAGCAGGCACTGATGGTGTCTTAACCTGATGATTTTCAGACAAAACTTGGTAATTTAGTTATCTTGTATGCTGACTTAATTTTTTCTTTTTTTCGTTTTTCTTTTTTTTTTCTTTAAAAATGTGCTCCAGTGATTTCATTGAGCCTGATCCATTAAAGAGCAACAGGGAACTCTGAACAATAGGTGCTTGTTTTACAGCTACTGCAAATGCTTCGAAAGCACTAAATTGCCTTTTATACTCAACAGTCTAATAACAAAGCCTGATTTTTTCCATTTTTCTCCCAACTGATTTGATGGTTCACTTGAGCTTTAATAACACATTACATAAATCTTTACAGCTATTACAGAAGTCTTTTGTCAAGTTTAATTTGGTGTTTGTTTTTTCTCCCCCCCCAGTGTAATCATTCACCCTTAAATGCACTGTAGCACACATACTGGGATCGTGCTTGTCCCTGGATCCAGAAGAGTTGTGAGTCCTAGGGGTTTGTTTTACATGGGGAGGGACCTCAGTCCTTCCAAAGGCAGTTGTTGCTGAAAGCTCCTGGTTCAGAGGTATATCAGATAAAGCGCTGTGCACTCCCAAAGGCACCTCTGGCAACAACTCTATCTTCTCCTGCTGTTTAATTTAACTTCGCTGTTACAACTTTGCTTGTGCTTGATGGCCCATGGTGGAAAAAATCACCTGGATTAGCTGGGAGGGTGGGAGATCTATCAGTGTAGACCTCTCTCCCTGCTGCAGAATAAAGGGAAATGTGCTGATCACCAGGCAGAGGTGTAGAGAGCAAAAGCTGATAGAAGAGCAGTAAATGTTGAAAAAACTTCAGACATGCAATTGGGTATAGAACATGATCAGATGATATTATCTTCACCAGGAAAAGCAGAGAGGCTGTTAAATGCCAGCCTTCCTCATCCTATGTTCTCCTGACCCTTGTGTGTCCAGATGTCTATTCATTTTCCCACTGGCTTTGAAGTGGAGGATTTCTGTCACTTTCTTCTTTCCCAGCCTTTCCCTCTGCTGTGGTCTGTGAGGAAAGCCTGGCCCTGGAAATGGGCAGAGCCAGGACTTGTGTTGGTGAAAATAAAGAAGCAAAGGCTGAGAGAAGCAGGATGCTCTCCTGCTGACCCACCTCTCTCAGCATTATGGTCCCTCAGCAAAGCTCTTGGCTCTTTAAAGACTGTGTCTGTATAGACAGGGCTTGGCTGGTGCTGTAAGGAGAAGATGGGACTCTGCTGCTGCTGGAGCTGGAGATGAAGGGGTGAACCAGGATGATCCCAGCTACACACAGAGAGGTTGTCTCCACTCCTGAACTTCTCAGTATGCCCAACCAGAGTGAGCTCCTCAGTGAAAGATGCTTGGGTGAGATGTGTTTGATGCTCAGAGATCCCCATGTGCACCCACCAGAAAACTTTGTGGACACCCAGCCGGGACTGTGCCCTCACTGGCAGTGCTGTAAATCTAGGTGAGTGACACCATTGTCCCTGGCTGTGTTTGGAGCAGCACAAAACCCGGCTTCATGTTAAAACCATTGTAAATGCAGGATGGGTCAGATTCATGCCTGGTGGAGCACAATGGAGGAGTGGGGGACAGCCCTCTATTAATGAAGCTATTATTCAAATGAAGAACTTTAAAAAAACAAACAGAGAAGGATGGAGTTGCTGGTGACACTGAGTGACATTGTTCAGGGATCACAGTAAGGAGATGTGCCTGGAGAACAGGGAGAGCAGAGCTAGTGCCAGGGCACAGCTGCTGCGCGGGGGGAGCGGTGCCAAGGGGGCTGTGTTTCGGAGCATGCACTCCACCCTGGACCAGGAGCCATTGTTGGGCAGTGGCTGTACTCCTGCCAGGCTGCACATGATGTTGTAAACATCCACAGATCGGATGGGAGGCGCTCGGTAGTTGGATCGGAAATCTGCAGGCAAAAGAGAGGAGTTGGCATCAGGCAACCCTGGAACGTGGGGTGCTGTGAGGCAAGGGCTCCTTTGCCTTTCCTGAGACTTACCCACCAGGCTGGGATGTGGCATGCTATACAATTTGGAGCACAGCTCAGCAAAAACATTAATTTAAACAATTTTATTCATTATTATTACTTCTGGGCCAATTTTATTATAAAAACTAAAGAAAGCTCTGAAGCTTTAAGTACAGGAGTTACTTTACTGGATGTGCTTGATAGACGTAATAGCCTGACATAATTGTATTGCACATTCTGCTTTCACTGGTGCAATACAATTAGCCTGGTGCTCTGCCTGGTGCTCTGTCCTGTTTAAAGGGCCTGATGAAGTAGAAACCAGGAGTTATGTGTCTGCCCATCAGACACATGGGTGAGCTATGCTGCAACCTTCCCAAAGAAAGTGCCCTGCTGTAGCGAGTGTGAATTCCCCAACAAAAGCAGGATTCATGTGTTTCAAATAGAATTGAAAATTTAGGCCAAAATTTAGGGAAACATTTAGGCCAAGAGTTCGTAACTGCCCTGGGACATCACAGAGAGGCTAACTAAATCCCTTCATATCTCTCTGCCCTGTTTTTTCAGCTATAAAATAGATGCAGTGCAACAACCCCTCCATTGTGAGGAAATCCTGCCATCTATTTGTAATTTTTGGGTGTCACAGAGTGCTGCATCGGGGTCCTGGTGTGCCAGGGGCTGCAGGGCTGCAGGGGTGAGGACCCTGGGGCTGCAGGGGAAGGGGAACACCAGGGATGGTGGCACTGTACCTGGGCCATATGCGAGGAAGAAGCCTCTCATGTCCATGAGCTCGTTGTCGTAGCCATGCCAGCCATTCTGCCAGGCCTCCTTCCTCCCCGTCCCGTTCTCCCAGTAGGGCAGCTTGTCCCTGCTCTGGGTGACAACAGCAGAGCATGGTTAGTGCCTGCCTGCTGAGCTGTGCTGGGCACTGTGGGGTGCCATGTTGTGTCTCCATGTGCTGTACCACCCCTTCAGGCCCCACACTGTGCTGTCACCTGCACAGGAGCTCATGCCCAGGAGGGGTGAGCCCTCCTGACAGGCTTTGCTGTCTCAGTGAGTAACCACCTCCCCCTCCACAGGGAGGGGAGGACAACTCATGTAGATTTCTGCCACAAACATGAAGTACCACAGTCGTATGTGACTTGTGTAAGGAAGGTGCTGTTCCTTGCCTGCAGCACTGCTCTCCCACCCAGCACCATGCACTTCTGTGGGTTTGCTGGGGTGTTGTTCTGCCCCACATGCCATTGACACCTTAAAAAAATAAGTAATTTTTTCTCCATTTGACTATTCAGCCTAATAATGCAAATATTCCCCCTACTAGATATTTTCTAATCATTATTTCTTCTCCCCACTGGTTTTTGTATTACAGCAATGAAGTTTGTTCCAGGGAACACTGGTTCTGGCCTGAGACAGTCCCACTCTCTGTGGCCTGTGCTCTGTTTTATTTCCTTGCTCAGTGGATCTATGCTTTATTAATTTATCATTATAAATCTTGTTCTTCCTAGCCCATACTGCACTTAAGATGTACTCTTAAAATCCTTCCTTACTTTCTCCTGCTTTGTATCCACAGCTCTTACCTACAACAGTGCCATATCTGTCAGAGCAGCAGTCCCTAGGGGCTGATCAAATGCTGGACCAACCTGTCCATGAGTTTCTCCTGTCCTGTGCTCCTTAGGGATAGCAGCAGACAGATGTGGCACTCTACATCACCCCAAAACTGTGGCAGGAATTTCACTTAAACAAAGAACATCAACTGACAGTTCATCAGACCCATGGCACTAATTTCTCTGATGATTACAGAGAAGGAGCTGCACAGTCCTCTGGAGTGTTCAGGTCTAGCCTTCACACTCAGGTACAGAAGGACAGAAGATGCCCACAAGAGTTTCCCACATTCCCACTTTGGGCAAGTGCTGCAGCTTCTGCAGATGGTGAAGCAGATTAAATGAGGTTCCCTTTCCTTTTATAAACATTTATTTTGTCTGATTTTTATCTTTTTAAGAAAGAAAATTGAGTGTGCAATGCCTAAAGGATGGGGACCACTCACTCATGTGAAAGGAACAAGGTCATATGAGCAGATCAGCTTTGATACAGCATGAAATCCCTCCTCATCCTGATTTAACCAAAACATAGATGGGCTTCAGTTCCTATGCTCCGTGATGAGGGAAACAACTTTCCAGATACACCCCCTTTGTCTCTTTCAAAAACCCCCACCATCAACAGAATCCCCTTTTTCAAACAGCTTTTAGCTATCCACTAGCTAACAGAGAGTTTAAAAGCCCTGGGAGCATGACAGGGAAGAGCTGCACATCCTCTCTTCACTGGTTTGGGCAGGAAGTATAATAAAAGGCTCAATAATTTCTTTAAAAATATGACAGGAAACTTTAATTTTCATATCCCATTCACAGATAATGAAAATGTACTGAAGAGAAGGAAAATCTGACAGCATTAATGAGAGGACATTCTTGAAAATCAGAAACAATAGGAAGGAATGGGCAGAGAGACAGAAATAATTATCATAGCAGCAGTGTTTGCTGCACTGTTATTAAGGTTTGTCAGACTTTCAATGATTTTTAAAGTGCTTTTTTATTTTCTACAGAATATGTAAAAGCATTCTATTTTGAACTTTTGTGCAAGAGAGTTTAGTTGTATTTTTTAAAAATAATTTTGGAGAAAACGTTTCAGATTCCTACTTTACCTGTCTAAATCTTAACTCTGGCTTTTAATACTTTTTTTTTAAATCAGAAATGTGGTACTCATCCAGCTGTATTCAAAAGCCATCAGGTTTTTTTAGAGGTGCATTTTTATTCAGCTGTAGAAACTATTATGCTAAATTCATGTTGGCTAGTGAGAAATGCTGTAGTGTGGACTGAGCAAAGCTTGGTGAGCAGTAGCTCTGAAGGCCATGAAAGGTGCTGAGCTAAGTTACAATCACCTACAAGGCAACAAAGTGCACTGTCTATGCTGGGACACAAAAGAAACCCAGCACTCTGTGGTTCTGTTGCCAACTTACTGAATTCATGTATGGCCTTGGGCAAATCACTTAATACACTGCTCAGTTTACCTCCTTAAAAAATACACAGTTATCTCACCCTCTGAGCTGTGCTGAGCTGCAGTTAGTATCTGTAATGTGGAGGTGCCCAGTGGTGACACAAAGACAAAGTAACAACAACAATTCATAGTAAGAAAATAAGTTAGTATGAAAAATCTCTTCATGTTTGTGTTTTCTGCTTAAGTTCCCAGGTTTTCAGTGTGTGCATGGGAATCTCTGAGGAGTAAATCTCCAGTCTGACCCTTTTGAGACTGGTGGTCTTGGGAGAAATGGGGCATTTTTTAGGACAGTCTGATGGGAGGAAAGCCAGGGAGAAGGAAAAATTGTCACAAGGTACTGCTGATTGGAGCATAATAAGGAGGAGGAGGATAATAAGGACTTGAAATGGAAACACTCTTTTTGTCTGAAATGAAAGTAGATAGCAAGGGGGGAGAAGAAGAGTAAAGCAACAAAACTGGAATGTGAAATACAAGAACTACTGCTTTATGACAACAGAGCAAAAAGAGGCACCTTGACTATTTAACTGGTTGCCTCTAGGATAGCTGCAATACATTTAAGTTCTTTTAAGCACACAGCAGAATTTGACATTAGTTTTGTAGTCAGGCCATTGACTTTAACTCAATGATCAGTAATATATTGCACCTTTCCACAGTCCTGTCTAAGTATTTTGCTTCTATACTTTACCTCTACTATGAACCATCCTTCTTCAGCCACGAGAGTTAGTGGAGACACAAATTTTCCTTTTTTGTAGAAAAATCTGTTTGGAATATCCTGTATGTTATAAACATCCATGTGTTCCACAGCTTTCAGTTTTTGATATATCTGCAAAACAAATGAATGTTAGAACACGATCAGGCTGTAAAATCATAAATACACTAATGGGTACATGGAAACACCTGGATTTGCAGAATGGCTAATCCTCTGTAATGGCTAATCCTCAGCACATTCACACCAGGACTTTGCCTGTCCAAAAATCATGGCTGGACAAAACCTGCCTGTGTGGTTTAGGGGATTCTAAAAACTCGAATCATAAACACATAGGAATGCATGAATTAATGTATTGTGTGTATTTATAATACACATGTTCACAAATGTATACATGTGAGTGTACCAGCCTGCAGAAACAGACCAGGAGAAACCACACCTGTGGAGACAGGAGGCAGTGAGTGAAGTGCTGAGACACTCAAAGGCACCATGTGGACTGTGGACAGGCATGGAAAAGAGATATCATCTTTACTGTCTGCCACTCATTCCCTCTTTGTGCTCTTGAGTGGAGAATGAATGTCACCTCACCTGTGTTTCTGCACTCACCCACTCAATCACTATCAAGGGATTGATAGTGCTCAGTTATCTGCTTCGTTAGTTATCTGATGTGAGGTTAATTAGCCAAAACCTGCAGCTTTGAATCTGCACAATGCCATACAAGTGGTTTATTAATATTAATTATACTGTCTGGAATATAATCACACAAATGTCATTACACCACAAATTATTCAGAAAATAGATTTTAAATGCCTCGAAAAGATGTTCATATGCCAAAGAGAAGGCAGCTCTTGGAGCCTCCAGACTCTATATTGTTCTTTAATAAGTTAAATATAAATAATCTTCAGGAATAAATAGCTCAGTTCTTCAAAGAATGAAAGGTTCTTCACTAGCCTTTCAGCTAAGTCACTCTGGTGTGTATATGTGTGCCAGATATGTGCACTGATGTGCAGTGACCATAAGGACATCACCAGGGTGTGATGGCACAATTTCTCCCACCACGACCAGGGCTAGAGAGTTGTCACCAGTACTTCTGGTGCTTTGAAATGGGGTAATTCTTGGAGATGATAACCACTATGTTATAATATACTACAACTCATAAACATAGCTGTTTAAAATTCATTAGAAATAGAGAATCTAGCTATTGGGAAACTGAAAATCAACTTCATTTTGCTTAAAAAGCATCCATCCAGTAAGAAATCCTAAAAAGAAATGAAAGAAGGAAACAAAACAATAGTATAAGGCATTGTGCTTTATTCTCCTTAGGAATATTAGGGTGTTTAACAAGAGAGAAGCATGTGCTGAAGAGCTTTGTTGGATGAAACCCTATGGCTGTGTGAAGTTGCAACTTGCCCTTGTTTGAAGGTCTGGCCTACAAAACCAGGGAGCTCTGGGTTAAGCACGTCAATGCTGTGATGCCCTGTGATGCACTTGAGAGTGAATTGCTCATGCATGCCTCTAAGACAACTTTCAGTTCTGGCACTAATTTGAAATGTTCACAATATCACAGACACACAATTCCTAAAGAGATTGGGTGCAAAGATCAGCAAATATTCTCTTTTAAAAATTGCTCAGGCTACAATATACTGTAACTGGATGAAATATAATGTAGAAACCAAAATTATTTGCCTGGGGAACAGCTTGCCCATTTTGTACATCCACTCATCTATATTCTGAGAACAGCAGTAATGACTCCTCATGCATTGGTTTTGGGTTAAACTATAATGTATTTGTCTATTAGTTAGAGAAATTACATTTTAATTCTTTTCAAGTGATTTTCAAATCTTTTCTCTATTGTTTTAATTTATCCCTCAAAACCCTGAAGTTCTAGCATTGAGCTTTTATGGTTGACTCAATCCAACATGCTTCATGAAAAATTCTTCCAAGGACAATATTGCAATTCTGGTCTAATGGAGTTGGTTCTTCAGTGGAAGTTTACTGGAATATAAATGCTTGAACCTGCTTCAGATGATTTGGACATCCTAGCTAGAGTGTCAATAAATTGACTAATATATAAAATCCTAAAAGCGCATTTTGAACTAAAATATTTTAGCTATTTATCAGAAGCTAATACGTGTCCCTGCCATGTAACAGTGCAAGTTCATGCTTTTTTATTTGCCTGGTGTTACTTTCCTTTGGAAACCAGCATCACAAGGATGTCACAGGATCCAAGTCTGACTCCTGATAAGAGCTGATTTTTGCACACATCTCTGAGAGCAGTATTTGGATGTTAAGAGAAAACAGAAGACACAATTGGCATAAAAACTGAGAAAACACAAAACTGAGGTGTACAACTAGGCTGTACTCACCTCTGCATGCTTCTCTGGAGCTGGCCAGAGGCTCACAACAGGACCTCGGTCTTTCATTTGTATGGTGTCACTCATATTGATATAGTTTTTCAGCTCAATCACTTTATCTGCCCAAGAGATGTCTGTCATCCCATGATCAGAGAAGAGGAGGACGTTGATATCATTCTGAAGGCCTTTGCTCTGTGAGGAAAGTGTATGACAGCTTTTAGGGCCAGGTAAGAGCTTTGCACTGTCTGTGCTTCTTGAAAAATGTAAATCTCCTTTTGACCTCCACTGTTTCTGTGGAAGTTAACCAGAAGGATCACATCCATCAATGTCCTGCAATGTGCTTTGCCACCATCCATAATGGTGGATACCCACTTTTAATTGCTGCTCTGGAAGAGTCTGAGAGGTTAGCACCAGAGTTTTTCCTAAACAAGTCCACACAGCAATTTTGCCATGATACCACTTGTGGAAGGGGTGTTTCTCTTTCCCTCCCAAACATGAGCACTTAGCATTAGAGCTTTTAATATTTAGTGAAATTGAAGATGCATATTCCTCTCTTTACTGAAACATATAAAAACTCCAACATGCATTTATCATTGTCAGAAATATTCATAGAATTGCCATTTACCCAAAAGATTTTCTCGCTGCAAAATCATTTCAATAATGCTTTTTTAAAAACAAGTTTAAAGTACAGAGTTCTGAATGCTGTCATAAAAGCTGCTATAGAAGTTAATAGTCTGATTCCACAAACCTTAGGAAACACAGTTTTGATTTCTTCACCTACAATGAAGTCCAGCTGGCAACACAAGTCATAAACAGAGCAACATGTATATTGGTTTGTGGCTTCCTGTGGCTACTGGTATAAATCCACCAGGAGGGTTATAATGCCATCAATGAAAATAATAATCAGGGTAATGGTGCCTTGACTTCCACATGAACTCAGTAGCCTGTTTCTCAGGAAAGAAAAATTTGCAGCCACTGCATTCAGTTACAGATGTTAAACGGACTCTGGGCCGTGCCACAAGGACCAGTTTTAAAAGCCTTGTCCAAAGGCACCCAGGAGCTGGGTTTATGGAAGCCACTCACCTTGATGAGTGAGATCATGTTGCTCAAGGCTTTGTCCACTTCCCTCAAAGCGTTCTTGCGCTGCTGGGACGAAGGGCCATAGTGGTGGCCTTCCACGTCGATGCGCTCGTAGTACACTGCGGCCATCTCGGCACTGTTGTTGCTGGGGGTGGGACAGAGGGCAAGGAGTGAAAGGCTGACACACATGGAGACCTCCTGGCTGCTGGCACTGTTGTCTTCACAAGCACATAGAGCCACAAAACCCTGTTTTCTGCTTCCACCCTATGCTGTCCTACCACCTATTGCACTGCTGGGCTCATTATTCACACCCAGAGTCTCCTGAGTTTGCCTGAGACTCCCATCAGAGGCAGCAGGTGGAAACTGCCATGTACAGGCTGGCCTGGCAGTCCTCTACTAACCTATTTGAATCAGGAAAGAAGCTTTCCCTTTAAGAACAAAGAAATTCTGATTTCTGTGCTGAATGGCCCTATTAAAAGGATTATGGGAATTACCAGTCAAATGTGCTTTAATTAAAGTTTGGCACTCTTGCTTTCTCCTGTGTGAGGTCTTCCAAACCACAGAGGTCAACTCAGGATGTGCTCTGCCTTACAAAATACCAAGCATTATGAACTGGGATGAGATTTTAGGAGGGGGTTTTATTCAGGAACACGAGCAAGGGAAACAAAGGTAATCTCAGAATTGCACAAGTTTAGCTGATCACACTTTTCTGTATTGATTGCTGTCAGCCTCATTAGTGGGGATAGCACACATATCAGTGCTTAATTTCATTTTCATGACCACTTTACTGTTCTCTGTAAATCTCCCTGAGAGAAATTGTGTGGATAAAATAACAAACCTATACTCATGAACCCAAACCCAGTCTTTTTGTGCTGTACTTAATATATGGCAGAGCATGCCATCCATATTACATGCTCTCATCCATATTAAGATCTCTACAGAAAGACTTGTTTATCCAGCATGTCTGATTAAAGACACCTGGGTAGTCTGGTGTCATTAGTGGGACAGAAGAGGCAAAATCAGAGATGAGGGATTGAGTGAATGAATTAGGGTCTGTCATTTGCATTTCTCAGTTTGTAGAAGGCTCAGAGGAGCAGTCCTGTGAGAAGCTGAAGATGTCTGCTGGGGTGGGAATTTCTCCACTGCTGGCCCTGCAGAACAGTGTTGTTCCTCACTCTTCAAGGTTTTAAAATAATTTAAATGAAGCAGCACTTCCCTCTCCCCAGTTTCATTTTAAGCATTACTTTCCATCTGTATTAGGCATAAATTATTTTCTAAAATTTGACCCTGTAATTTCTCTATTGCATACACAGTCATTGAACCTATTGAAATAGTTCTCTTCTGCTGCAGTACCTGTGTTATAAGCTACTTAAACTAATTTATGTCTTCTCACCTGTAAGTAAATTATCATTTTGACCAAGATAGAAGCTAAGAAAGAGATTTACTGCATAAAGCAAGTGATCTCATTTAGGCTGTGGTGAGATTTCTCCATGAGGGCTTAGTGCTGTAAGGAAGAATATTTAATTACTTCAATGGGACAAGATCCAGTAATGCAGCATGCTTAGGAGTTTGCAGGATTTGGTACAGCATGTCTGGGGCTTGACTTTGTTTCCATTTTTGCTTGTTTTTCTATGGATAAAAGGGGTTTTCTAAGTTTTCTAAGAAAACCCTTATCATGGCTTGCATGGGAGAAGTATTCTGTCTTTAGACAGAAGTATTCTGTTAGTTCTGTCTTCTTCCATCACCAGTAACTTTCCAAATAAATGACTTAGAAAAGAATGCTGAAGAAAGTTGGACAGCATTGATGGCAACATCAAAAAGGGCTTTTATATTCTACCAGCACACTTTGCAAGTACAATGCAGACCTCAGGACACCTCCCCAGGCAGGTAGGTAGACTACAACAGCCCATAAGTTAGAATTGTTGAAAAGATTCAAGGGAGGTTTTAGTTTCACTTGCCAAAAACAGATGCTTGACTTTGTTTTGAATATTCTTGGTCCAAATAGTGGTCTTGAAGCACCTGTTTGAAAAGACTGGAGAATATTGCTGAAGGATGATTTCCTTTGGTTGCAAGAGAAGCTCAGTGGCTCCCTGATGAGTTAGGTACTTCACCCTGGAGTCCCTGCAAGGTTTGCTAATGGTGGGAGCCCAAGTGCAGTTCTTTAACTACTGATACCTGCCATTAGGGCTGCTGAGCGAGGCACTGCTCCAGGCAACAGACTGCCCTTGCCACAGGCTGTTTTCTCACATACAGCTAAGGACAGGCTCAGCCTAATGGGCTTTTCCAATTACCTAGGGTGTGGAAAGGAAACATGCTGCATTTGCCAGCCTTTGAACAGCTCCAGAAGTCAAAAGCACTTGTGAAACATATAGATGACAAGCTGAGGACTCTTCTACTGGAGATGCTAAATCCTCCTAAATGAATATGACTACAATAAAAGCATTTCAGAGGCTTTACTTCTTATGGGCTGGCACAGCAGCATGGAACTTCTAAATCTTAAAGAAATAAACAAAGAGGATGGATGAGAGAAAGAATAAGGAAAACCTACCAGATTTTTAATATTTTCATTCTCTACCCTCCCTTCTTACCTTAAGTCCCTGCAGTATTCACACCCAAACCTGATTATTAGTTTTATGTAAGAGCATTAATTTTTCCTCTTTCCCACCTTGTTGGATACAGGGCACTTAGTTTAAAGGAAAAGAACTCAGGAAGAAATTCACCAGGGATGGTGTGTAAACAGACACCAGTGACAGGACCTCCTGCTACACTGGGATGATCTATGGGATTTGGGCACTTCAGAAGACTGTAGCTGTTATTTATGACATCTTGGTGGCAGGGACTTACACTTTTCTTGAAATCATCAGCTTTCACCTCTTCCAAGTTGTTCCACCAACACTGTTGTGTCCCTTTCCTTTTCCACCACAGCCAGCAACAGGCAGCCTTGTGGCTTGGACAGAATTAGCTATTGAAACTCTCCAGCTACCCAAAATAACAGCTTGAAGGGCTGGTACTTTTAGCAGTTTGTGCCTCATTTTTCACTATGTTCACAATTACAGAGCTGAAAAACAGCACTGAGCACCCTTACACACTGTGCTTCACAGAAACCAGGCAAGAAGCTTCAAGTATATCTTGACCCATCCCAAAATGATACCAAACCAAAAATCTTTCTACATTAATTCTGGGTTTCTACCAGAAGCCAGAGCTGATGTCTGTATTACATCTTCCATTCCCTTTTTTATTCACTGAATTAAAAGCATTGCAAAAGCTCCAGAAAGCCTCCTATGACACATATGGCTTCCTCATGTCACATGCAGGTAACTTTCTTTAAATCTAAGCGAAATAATTTCAGGATAAAACCTCTCACATGGTCTCAGAAACCTTCTGTCTGAGCCCATGCTGCAAACAACACTTATTTGTGAGCCTCTGTGCAGCAGGACCCAGTGTGCAACTGGGAGCAACTTCCCCAAGAGCACTCTCATAATCTTGGAGCCTTTATTTCAGGAACAATCAACACTCAGCACCTGAATAGAAAACTTTTTGGATTCAAATTGCTATGGCCATTGCAAGTATTGAAGTAGAAGGATCTCCTAGGATTGGATTAATTATGGAACCAACAAGGCTTTAAAAGGAGGAGCTCAGTTATAGCCCAAGTAAGGCATTGGTGCTGCATGTGATGGTGCAACCTTCCCTGATTTTACACCCTATGTGGAATTGTCTCTTGTAAATGTTTGGATGAGAGATGGTGGAACTTGAAAGCTGGGTCTGGAGCATGCATTTTTCCTAGGAGTTGTCTGAGAGATATATTCCCATCAGTTGGACTATATGGCTGTTGTAGGACCCTCCCAATAGAACTATTCTATTCTATTCTATTCTATTCTATTCTATTCTATTCTATTCTATTCTATGCTATTCTATTCTATTCTATTCTATTCTATTCCCATATTTGCACAAAAGAAATGCCCTGTCCCAAAAATATTTGGCTTGAGATGTTCTAAAATGAAGAAAAAGCCAGACCATCACTCTCATAAACAAGTGACTGGAGCTGAATTTCAGAATTTCCAAATCCCCTGTCTAAATACAAGCATTTCAAAGCCTTTTCTTGCAGGAGTAGACATGCACAGGCTCATCCTGAAGTTGTTTGAAACAGCAAATTACAAGCCTTTTAGTCAGGATGTCTCCTCCTTGTTGCAGACTACACCAAAACAAAGGAGCACATCTTTCCCTCCACTCTTAATGTAAGGCCCTATTTCTGTTATGGCGTTGTTTCTATGATGATACTCTAAAGCACTCTTGGCCCCCCTCTTTCTGCCTGGAAGCTCATCCTGAAAATTTCCCTGATAGTAAATCCAAAGATTTGTCCCAGAGAGAGGAAACCCCACACTGCAAAAATCTCGTGACGTACCACAGAGACTCGATGGCATCGCTGATGGCGTCTGCGAAGTTCCTGTCTGTTGGAACGCTGAAGTACTCGCGGCAGTAACTTGGTCTGACTCCAAGGATTTCCACCTCGCAACCTACGAGCAAAAAATGTGGTAAGCTCTGCTATTTCACCTTGGTCACAGACCTCACACCCTGGTGTGCAAGTTCAGGTCTGTAAATTCCCTGTGACATTACTTACCTTATGTCTTCCCTGCAGGAAACCATGTGGTTGGCAAGGGAAAAGGGGAGAGAGGTTGGTTTGACAAGTGCTTGTAGCAAACTGTACATTGCACTCTTTTATTTCCCTCTCTAAAAGGAAGGTCTCTGTGCGAGCTGCCCACAATAAAATGCTTGATTCCCTTGTGGCAGACCATTTCCACCTAAATCACCAGCTTGTTTATATTTTAACTTCTGTGGCCATATAGCCTCATTTCCAGGCTTCCAACATAATAGATTTAGATATTGTTCTCTGAAACTTCAGCAAATACTTTCCAGTTAGACACACTGTATCTTACATTGCAATATCCTCTATAAAGTGTATTTTATGATGTGATACTGGCTCTCCACTATTATATCTGTTTCCCAGGAGGTCTTATTAAAACAGTGTAAACCAATTAACTCTCTTGGTAACTGGCAGCCTTTCTTGCAAAATAAAGTCTGTTTTGTGGCCTAAAAATTTATGGCAACAAATCCTACAGGAGAACATGGCCTTGAACATAGAAAAACATGTTTTTGTGAGGTTTCTTTGCCCTTTTGCTCTCCAGTTACTATGCTGCTGAATAATATTAATATTTAAAAGAAGTATGCTTCCAGAAACACTGGATTAATGCAAATCATCATTCCAGAACCCCAGAGTCCTCCCATCACAGTTAGGCATTTTCTGATGTATTCAGAAACACATCAGAAAACAAGGGCCACAAGGAGGAATCAAAACCAAAAAACCCCCACCTTTTGCAAAATGGCCTCTGCATATAGCAACACAGTCTGGTCAAAAAGGCAGCTCTAAGCCAAAGCCTGAATCTGTACATCTGGGTCCCTCTGCTTCTCCTTTGGGAGGAAAGTGAAATGCATTAAGGACTGTCATATGTTGACTTGTTGCTTGGGGTGTGAGAAGGAGGTGTAAGTACAGGCAGGGCCCTAGAGCAAGCAGAGCTACCAACAGAGGTGATTTACAGTGGTTTGCTTACTGGGACACTCAATAAAGAGAGTCTGTCAGCCTTGCATCTCAGCTCCCATGGGCTCACATCACTCAGATGCAGTGCTGGACGTAGGGAAAAGCACACCACTTGCAGGCCAAGATGGCTAGGAGTCTTCTGATGTGATAGTTCAGGACTACCATGAAAAATGAGAAAAACGTATGTGTTTAAACTTAGGAATTTTTTAAAACCTTCAATGATTTGCAGAAAGCCAGATAAGTCAGATGGAAATTATCTTTTCCAAAAGTGAAAGGGCCATAGCACACATGACAGATTCAGTCTCTTCACCTGTGGTAGCAGCTCCCAGGTCTCCACATGCTCTGTGTGTTTCAAGGGACCCCATCTGTTATGATTAATTAATTATTTGCAATAATAAACATCTAATGTAGTCAACTGATTTATTTTCCTGTAAAAACACATTTGCCTACTCTTGAAGCTATATCTAATTTTTATTTGTATCAAAATTGCGGGATGGTACTTACTTTTTATTCTTCCCCTGTTGCCCCAAACATAGGATTTACTCTTCCACTTTCTGCATGAAAATACCTCAGTGTTCATCTCTCCACCATGATTCCCCATGACAGTTGTCTGCAGCCTGGATAAGCAGCCAGCAGATTATGTGACAATAACTGAGTCTCTTGATCACCCCGCAATAAAACTCCTTTACATCTGCACACAGTGTCCCCAAGAAATTACACTGTGCAGCAGAGATGGGTCTGAGCTGATACTGAACCAAATCATCATAAAAATGTGTTCCATGAATGGCCTGAAGTCATACCCAGGAAGTCCCTTCCCTGAGGGCTCAGAGATCCAGCCTTTTGTAGGGTGTCCTGGGTGCTACCAGCAGCAAAACAAGGGCTTTCGGCTACCTCAGATGCTAGAGGTGATGCAATTGTCCTCTACAGGCTTTGCTAGTATTTCAGGATTGAATTGGAACTTTGGAGCCAATTTCTCATTTCATACTTGAGTCTGGCTCAAGATTGTCTCCAAAACCAAGCAAGAAGTTAAGAATGCATTTGGAAAGTCATTAGAAATACCTTGTGTTTAACTTCAGCTGGATAACTGCTTGTAGCCAGTGACTAATATGATCATTCTGCCTCTTTTTGCCTTCAGATACTGACATCAGATTGTAATTTTCTCAAATAACTTTCTTCAGAATTACTCATGAGATAATTTTAACTGGGTAACTGGGAGCATTAACCTCTTGGGGATCCGGGATATTTTAGTTTCTGAGTTATCTTTGCTATTTCTAGGTTGTCAAGTGATGAGCATGACGTAAAAGACTACAGGGTGGCAACAATTAGAAATCATTTAATCATTTTGGCCATGAAATAGTGGTCTTCAAGTGTGCTTCTTTTTTTCTTTTTTTTTTTTTCCTCTATGAGGAATAGAACTTAAATTAGGGTTTTTAATGTTAAGGCTTGTTACAAGTCCAAAATAGTGGCTATGAAGACCCTTTAATATTTAAATTTCGTTTTGGAAGAGGCCAGGACAGATGGTAAGTTTTTTCTTTTAGATATTATGGGAAAGAAAATTTAAGCAGATTTGGAGGCAGCCAAAGGGAATGCCAAGTTTTTCTTGGTTGAACTACAAATAGTTAAGCTGTATTTACTAAGATGTCATGCTAGATCCCTCTGCATAGTTTTGCATGATGCTAAACCTTTATTTAAAAACCTGAACTACTGGAGCAGGAATAAGGACTTCTTTCAGAGTGATAAACCCCTCTTTATCTATCTGACATGGAGACCAGAATCTCTGCCGGCTTTAAATTACATTTCTAAACATTTATTTAACAGTTGGACACTTCATGTCATAACAGAAGATTTTGAAAACTTTCCAGACTAGCTGTATGGTCTGGTAAATATTATGTTTAAATGGCAAAAGTTGAGTTTAGAGTCTTTTTTCTTCCCCCTTCTGTCTCTTATTTCAGTGTTTAGAGAAGTTGTCACTGCAGTTCAGCTGAAGTAGTTGCATGGGCTGCTGGAAAATGAAGGAGCTTGAGCATCTGGGATGATGGCACTTACTGGGCTGAGGGCAAGGATCACTCCAAGATTTTGACCAGGATGCTCTTGCACTCCTCTGGGCATTCTCCACCTGCTGGAGCAGCAGTGCTTTGGACAGGCAACCTGGGGGTGAGGCTGTGCCTTTCACCCCACATAGAGCATGAAGAAAGGAGAAAAACATCCCTACAAGGCAAGGCCTTATGTTCTGGCAGAAGTGGTGTTTGGGACCCCCAGCATGGTGATAGTTTGGCTCCACTGCTTCTAGAATCACAAGATCTCAGATGCATTCTGCTCATGAGTTGTCTTTGCTGGGTTTGTGTCAGGCTCACAGATAAAGCTGTGTGATTGTTTGCATCCCAGAGCTCTCCTGTGTTCTGTGTTCCTGTGTGCTGGGGTCTGGATTTTATTTCTTTGGGCAGTGACTACACATGAGAGAGGAACATAGGGAAGAAAATGAAGCAGCAGATTTTGGGTTTAGGCTTTGCAAAGCTTGGAACTGACTCTGAGGAGGAAATGACGCTGGTAAAAGTTAATCTTGGGAATCAGCACTCTGGTGTTTCCAATGCATTCCTGCTATGGTTCATTGATGTTGTTTGTCTTTATTGATAGCTAAAGAGAAAATAGCATCTTCCAGAACAAAGTGGAATGAATTTGGCTACATATTGCAGTTCCTATTAAGAGTTTCCCAAACTTTTCTGTTTGGATCTTTATCATAATTGCAAGATTCATTACTAAGCAGCAGTGTGTATTCATGCTGGAAAGCTAATTGCTAATAGCAGATCATATGCAGTACAAATGCCTTCCTCTACTCACCTTGGTTATGAAATCTTGGGGTTTTATTTTCATTTTGTTTGGTATCGCTCCCCACTCAAATGGCTTGTTAAGAATTTAAGCTTTGAAATGATAGATGTAGAATTTTTAGAAAGGATTTTGTCCTTGCTATGGAACAAGAAAATGCTTGGAAAAAAAAATCATATAGGGAAAACGTAACAAATGCTGTTGCATTTGAAGAGACTTCTGTTCACCCCAGTTATAGCTGGAGTCCTACTGCACCCCAACAGCCCTGTATTTTAGTTCAGAAGTTCCATATTTCACTCTGCTTCCTGTGTCTGACCCTGTATGGCCAATGTGTCCTTTGAGACCACGAGTACCCTGAAAATAAACATGTGCTTCATGCTTTTGCTGAACTGAAGCGCTGATGGCTTTGCCAAAGGTCAACCATCACAGATAAATAATTAAGAATAGGCAGTTACATGTCACAGTCCACAGCTAAAATTCCAGATCCATGCAAAAACTCCCCCTCTGTATCATAAGAGAGTTCAGTGCATATACTTGGAAGTATAAGCACTGGGGGAAGGGGGTTTCTCTTGTTCCTTGCAATTTTCAGCTAGAAATTGCAGGCAGAGTCTGCATATACATATATACATATATAGTATAAATATATATATATACAGGGATACATATATATTCCCTGGGAAACACTGCTCAAAGGGCAACATGAAGAAGCTAGGTGAAGTCCAAAGGCACTTAATGGAAAGTGATACTGGTTTTTTGGATTTCAGCAGCTCTCTGTAGGCTGTTACATCTATTCAGTACATAATTATACCTATTGACAGCAATTACAATAGTAGTTAAAAATGAATAGTCTACTGAAAGAGATATTTTTGTAAATTTTTAGAAGAATTCGTACATTCTTGTATAATTTCTATATCCTACTATTTGCCTTGTTGTTAGATCACTTGAGACATCTTCAGTAGGAAGCAGCCTTTTTTCAGGGCTGATGTAAACTCTTTGACTGCCTCTGAGTCCACAAAGCAACATTGTCACCCTCAGATCTTTTTGCTCTTCAGTACTGTAGAAACACTCTGGATGGCTTTTCAATGTTTTTCATCTTGGTTCACTCTTACCTCCCATTCCTTAGAATCATGGGCTTTTTGCCAGGGCACCCTTAGTCACATTGCATGGGAAGCCTGTGGCCAGGCACACACTCTGCATTGGGAAGCAGAGACGAGCTGGCCAGGAGCCCATGGCATGAGTCAGCTGCCTCTGCCCTGCTGGCACTGGCTGTGCTCAGCACAGCTCTGCTAACAGCTCTCTGGTCCTCCTGCCTGCGCTTGCACATTGAGGGTGTCTGCAGACTGCTCAGGGTAGGGAGCAGTTAGAAGGTAAAAATGTTGAGAATCTGGGTGCTTTGCAAGGGATTTGGTCTGGTTGCTCAGCTGGAATGTCTATTTCCATGTGAGTCCCTAAACGTGTAGTCTAAGGGGATACAATACTTCTGTTTGATAAAAAGGACTCATTATTGCACATCCCTAGTCATTCCAGTGGTCCAGTATCTAACAAATGAGGAACAGAAAGGCCAGTCCCTCCAAATGAATGGCCCAGACTCAGACCAACTGGGACCACAGATGAATTAACAATGAAGGAGGACCAGAAGACAAGGATGCTTTGCTTTCAGCTGGATTTTCTTGTTCTCACAGAGCAGATAATCTTCAGCTCTCAGCTACTAATTTCCAGATTAAAACCAAAGAAGCATTGGGGGAGGGTGGTTATTGTTTAACTTTGATTGGACCGTGAACCATGGAGCAACCATTGAGCATAGCAGAAGTTACAGGTGGACAAGAGGAAAAAGCAGTTGATGGAAGAGGGAATGCTCTTCAAGCCAGCACCCTCCTGAAGCTAGCATTTAGTGGAAAGCTGCCTCTACTGAACTTCAGTTTTCTCCTTTCTAAGCAATATGCAAATTATCATGACTGAAAAAAAGCTAATTCATTTCTATGCCTGGTTAGTAAAGCACAAAAAATTCCTATCTGTATTTCAGAACTGTATTAGAGAGCCATTCTTACAGCATATGGAGTGCTCAGGTGTCAAAGTGCATTGTAGGAATTTTTCACATACTAACCTGGCCAGTAGTACATGGAAACGTTCTTTTTAGCTTTCATCATAGTGACCCACAGAGGCTCTGATCCATTCCACCAGAGAGGCAGCAGGCTTTCTTTATTCACACCAATATCAAATGATACATTTGCCTTCTGGTCCCACATGTAGTTTCCAGTCATCTGATGGACCTCGCAGTGGCGACCTTTGAGAGTGGAGACAAAAGCAGCACAATCAGACTGGTGTTCTTCAGTAGAAGGTTGCTGGCATCACCACCACTGCTACTACTGGATCATCCAGCAAATCAGCTGAAAAGCCCTGTCTTGAATTCCAGGATCTCTTACCTTGCAACCATTCATGAAATCTCCCTGACTCTTACCTTTCACTGGGGTGCTCCAGTTTGATTACTAAATCCCCCAGTTCAGACACCCAAAAGTGAGTTGCTAAAGTTTGTCAGCCCCCTGTGTTCTCTTCACAATCAACAGATAAGAAGAGTCATGTCTAGAAAGCAATTCATGCCACCCTAAGATAGGCATTTGGGTATCTGGAGGTGCAGATGCTCTCAATTATTGGTAGAGAAAGATCACGGCCTTTTCTCAGCTTCAGATAGCCAAATTTTAAACAGCTGAGGACAGAAAAAACAAACCTTGCACCCCGTGTCTTGCTCAACATTTCAAACCCAGCCCCACACACAAACTGTGTCAGCAGCAGCCCATGGGTGCCACATGCTTGGCTGACACCTGGCTCCTTCTACACACCCAACAGCTGGCAAGTCTGAGGCCATTTTAAGGAACCCATCAGAACTCACAACCTGCTGTGGGAAGCAAGCTGTGAACAGAAGGTGATAAGAGCACAATCTAGAAACACAGAACAAAGATTGAGAAATTTGTATTTCTCCTTCTTTGATCCATAGGGCACACTGTTTTTCTGCAAACAGGCAAAATCTAGGCAAAAACATTTATATGTTACTGTTATTTTCGATTATTGTTCATTTTTCTTTTTTTTTTCTTGCAATCATCATGCTTTTTTCTTGCTTGTGGGCACAGCAATAACTTCATCAGACATGTTCAGGCTTGTTACTGTACTGAGGGGCCCTTGGGCTACTTCATATTACAAGAAACTAGTATATCATAACTGAGAGAGATCTTCTACCTCTTGACTTCTTGTAATTTTCAGAAGAGAAGATGCTATATTTTAATAATTATTCTGAAGATGAATTAACATAAATGGGAAAAGAAATGATGAAGAATAAGTTGTACTGGAAGTTCCTTATTTACATATCTTAAAAAGCAATGACTGAAGCATGTGATAGACACTGTCCTCATTAGCTGGTGAGTCATGTTATTGCAAGGATTCAGATAACAGGTTTTGATTATTTTGAGCCTGAGCATGGTGATCAGAACTGAAATAACCTTGGTATTCTTGTTCTGAAAAGATGTCATTTCAAGCAGAGGACTCTGTATGCTTTGGGAGCATGTGATCTTGAAATGGATTTTGAACTCTCCTTCCCTACTAAAAAGTATTTCAATTATGCAGAACATTTCCTCTTTCCCAGAGGAAAAAAGTGGTCCCAGTTTGTGGCAGTCAATCCTTATCATACTAACCCAAACAGGTTTAACATAGGAGATCTGGTGGATTGGATGGGCAGTGATCTGTTCTCTTCAGGCTGCCAAGTTTTCTCTTTTCTGTAAGTCTCAAAAGAGAGAGAAGGGAAGTCTCTAGAGAGCATCAAAAGTACAGCTGTACAATTTACAGGACAACCTGAGCTTCTTGAATTCCATGTATTCCTAAGCATCTATCAACCTGATAAACTGCAGCAGGCAATTTGTGCCAGCCTGGGAAACTTACAGGTCAATGCTGAAGCTCTATCAGTGTGAAACCTACATATTAGGGATCTGTGTGATGTGTAGTGTAGTGTTCATATAGAGCTAATGAGCTCTAGCTGCTACTGATCCTACAGGACTTAAGATCTGTTGTTTTAAAGGAAGAGATTGGAGATAGTTCTTTGTAGTATTGTTGGGAAATTTAATTAACTGTTTGAACTAATACAGAGGACAGTATTCTGTTCTCCACATTAGATTAGTTCAATTTTCTATGGACTCCAAATCCTTTCTTTTATTGTTGAAAAAGAGACCTAGAAGACTGTAAGGCATCCGTTTTCATTGCAGACATCCCTGGTTGACAGGGTCAGAAGAGAAGGTCAGGTGAGCAACACATCAAAGACATGACCATTTAATGCCATTCATGCCTGCTTACCTGTGGCCTGTGTCTCAGAAAGACCTTGGACCTCCTTGGAAGACATCAGTAATCAAGCAATTAACCTCTTCCTTTGGTTTCTCCACCCAATATTTGTCATCAGTTAACATATTCAAAAGTATGTCTGATGTCCAATTTTATTTTTGACCTTGGTTAATCTTTAACCATGGCTATTCTGAGCCTTGCTCACTAGATTGAAAAGCTCTGGAATAACTGGAATTTCTGCCCGTGCCCCCTCCCTCCAGGATACTTGTACACAGAATTTAGGCCATTTCTCAAGTTTCTTTTGGGTCACCCATCCAACTCTTATTCTTTATATCCTGTTTTCACTTGTTTTCTCCAGCCTAAGAAAATTACCTTTGGTGTACTTCCTTAATCATTATCAAAATAGCAACATGGTGTTAGAGAGTCACCATAACATTCAGAATTTATTACTTCTTCCATTACTATAGCTTTCCTCAGTAATCAAACTCTTATCTTAAGGGTTTCAAAATTAGAAACAGGGCAGCAAGCAATTTCAGCACACAGATGTCACTATTTAAACTCACTGTAATTGTAGTAAAAATTACTCCTTCCTCAAGCAACAGAGGAAAACAAAGAGGGTATAGTTCCCAAGAATATGATAACTGCTGTATCCTTCTGGAGGAGAGCCAGCAAAAGCATTTGCAAGTCTGCATGCTCCAGCTTACTTGGACTCTACACTTCATACAGCATTTGTCTAAAGCACATTCCCGTGTCTCCAGGCACTTTCGTCAGCATTCAAATGAATCTCTGCAAAACAAAGACGAAATTTAAAAAGCCAGCAGAACACACAGCCACTGGGCCACCCACAGCAGCAGCACAGTCACACTGAGTGCTGTGCACCCTGCCCTGGCTGTGTGTGAGATCCAGAAACCAGCATGTGCACTCCTGGGCCATCTGCCATCTCTGCACTCAGCAAAGCAGATTTATCAGAGAACCCACAGTGTGTCTCTTAGCCAATGCAGCAAAGGTACCACAATCTGATGGCGAAGACCAGTACCTGCATTTAGCTAAATGTACTATGCAATATTTTGTATGTGCCTTGCTGCTATGGTGAGACCTTTCTTCTCATCTCCCACCACCATGTCCCCACTCTCTGGAAAGTGGCAAGAGTCAGGGGGGCAGATGCAAGCACTGCAAGGCTGCCACAGGGCTATGCAGTCTGGGGAAGAGTTAAATTCCTCCATGCAAACAGCTGGATGACTTGCCTTGGGAAATGCTCTGCTCATGCTGCCTCCTATAAGGATGAAGAAAGCAGGACTTAAAAAGTCACCAGCACCATATTCCTGTTCTGGAGCAGATATAGCAGTTGCTGTCCCCAGGAACTAAGCTTTGATATATGCACTGCTCTGCTGTTCCCCTGATGGGTCTCACTTGCTCTGCTTTGACAAGAAAGACCACAGGGTAAAAAAAAAGCCCTTGTGCTAAACCCTGAGGAGCCTGGAGAAGGCCAGAGCTCATGGGAAGTCTTGGGGGAATGCTGGCCTGGACAAATGGGGGAATGGTGGCCCTGCCATCTGCAGACCCCCAAGCAAAAACAGTACTTGTATGATGTGCATGGGCAATTCATGTTCCAAAGGAGTTTGCTGGCAAAGTCTCTCCAAATTTTTATGACCTCTAATATCAGACAAAGCCAAAGCATGAACACCTTAGCCTGTGTCAGGCAAGACTTTGCAATTCAAGTAGGATCACATCAAAAAGCACAGAAAAAAATCTCAGCTACACACAGCATTATTTTTTTCCTTAAAGGGAATTCATTTAGTAAGACCTTGAAACTCTTAATTTAATGCTTTCATCATGGAGCCAGGGCTGGGATGCACAAAAATTGCTAATAAATCATCCAGCTGAGGCTTTGCAGATGCTTTCTTGTGTGGGAAGTCAGGTCTTGTGTCCCTGGAGAGCCAGGACTGCGAGCTGTTGATTGCTCTTCCGAACTGTGGTGGGCTCAGGGAGCACTCTGGGACCCCTGAACCCCCAGAGCTGGGTGTGACTAGAGGGCACTGAGGTTCCAAGCACGGGGCAGAACAATGGGCAAAGCTGCTGCCTGCATTATTGGGCAGAGTATGAGCCTGTGGCAGGGACTTCAGCTCTGGGCTAAGAAATACCTTGATATGTGAATGTCTGCTTAGCTAACAGCTGGCAGTAGGTACACTAGTTGTGAGCTGTGAGATTGTAGCTAATGAGGAGAAAAAAAGGTCTGTATTTTAATTTGTAGCATTGTTGCTACTTGAACTTGGGTTAGAAAAAACTTTCTGCTCTACATTTTAGGAGTGTTTCTAATTCTTTAACTGGTAGAAGCAAACACAGATTTTTGCAATATTTTGTCTGAGAAAGAGAAAAATCTTGATGCTTGGCATTGCAGCTTTTCTGCAGGTGGTGAGTAAACAAAGTGAGAGGCAAAATGTGGAAAAAAAAATCCTCCTGGTTCCCACTAACTTTTCCAGCCTGTTCTTGCTGGGACAGTACCCTTTCTTTGCCAGTTAACAGTATTACCACAGCTCATGCTGTTTTGCTTCCCAACACAGAATTTTAGAAATGGAAAGCTAATGAATCCAAGAGGAGACTTGATTTCAGAGCTTTATGTAACAAACAGAATCTTTTAAATCTCTGCTGCTGCTGGCATCTGTAGATGTTTGAGAGGATCAAAAAGAAAAAGTAATTTTCCCTTTTCACTCATCATGCACTTTGTGTCCTTCTGGATTTTTTCTAAGCTTCTAGCTTGTGAAGTAGAGATAGTTTTAGTTCATGTGTATGTAATAAACTTCCCTGTTGTACTCCTTTCCTTCCATTTTTTTATTCCTCAGAAAACGGTATTGCTTACACAGAATTTGCTTAACTGCTGAACAGACATTGTCAGCATCCTTCTCTGGACCAGGCTGGAGTCAGGATGCCATTACCTGTGCAGCAGAAAAGAGGCATCCACTAGAACCATCACCAGGCTGGGCTTCCTTCAGGTGCTGGGTGGAAGGAGCCTGGAGCTGCTGTGCTTTTAATCAGGAAACCTCTCACAGTAAGCAGTAAATACATGAGTATGTGTGCACATCAGCCAGACTGCAGGGGATTCCAGGGCTGGGAGCCCACAGGGTATTTTCTCCCAGAAAACATGGGACAAATGGGGTGCAGTGTATGTTGAGTTGCTGTGCTCAGGGGAGAACAGATGTAGACTGTTTGTTAGACTTTGGCATCATCCACCAAAGCCCCTCAGCAGTTAAGTATGCCAACATCAAGAGTGAGGAGTGAAGGGAAGATTGTTGAAACATAGAAGATGGGTGAAATCTTCAGTCTGGCAGAGTGGACCTTGATGTCACCTATCCGTGGGAGCTCTGCCATGTCACCCCATTCCCTACTGCTATGCAGAGGAAGAGGTCATGGCATGTGTAGGGATGAGCTGCAGTGGCTGAGAAAACACCTCAAACCACCCCTGTATTTTAGACAACACCCAAATGTGTCATCACTGTGTGACAGTGATGACACACCCCTGCAAAGGGCCACAGCCCTCACTCTGGGTGCAGGAGACTGAAATGTTCTCTGGTCCACCTTTTCCTCCACCCCTCAAGCCTCAGGGGACCTCACAGCCCCTCTGCCACTTATTTAAGATCAGGTCCTGTCCAAAGAGGCACATGGAGGCTCCTTGCTGGCTCCTCTCCAAGCAGTTCCCCACCCATCTCTGCAATCAGGGGCTCCCTTTGCTTCCCATGGAGGCCAAGTGAAATATGACTCTTGGATGTGGGGCTGCACAGCTGACCAGCAGCTGGCACATCCACATGGAAGACCTGCCAGAAAGACTTCATTTCTAGCTATGATCTAGGAAAAGAAATCCTTTCTGGATTTCTATATCAGATGTGATACTCTCTGTTCATGTTTAAGCTGGCTGGAAATGTGAGGTGCCCCTGAGTGTTCTCAGCTGGGGGAGACTTCAGGAGAGCTGGGCTGCAGGGAGTACTTCATCACCCCTCCAACACCTGCAGGTTGTTAGGTAAGGGAGACCCAACCAGAGCATGAGCAGCTTTTCTTGACAGATGTGGCAGAAGTGCTCTGGAGCAGTAACTCCTACCTTGCAGTGCTTACAGGGAAGATCTCAGACTTTCCACTGAACTTGGCATGAGAGCTCCCTGCAGAGCCAGGCCATGGCAGGGAAAACTCCCCACAGGATAACAACCCAAGAGGGTTTGTGGACTTAATTCCTGCCTTTCCAAAACAAACAGCACATGGTATGATTAAGGGAGCCTTTTCAAATAGACATATTTGGACTTCTTACCTCCCTTGCCAAGCCCACAGAGTCCTGCAAAAGCTCTGTCACAGCTGCAACATCTCCTTCTACCTAATTCTCCATTTCATGTTTTTCAGGTCAACAATTGCAATATTGTAACTGCACCATGGAGAGCCAGCACACCAGGCAGGATTCAGTCCAGCAGCTCAGAAAGCAGCCCAACCACCTAAAAACGAGCCTTTCTGCCACAGTAGAAGCCAATACTAAGAAACACGGCATGCTGGAAGTTGCCAGAGGAGACTGCTTTTCAAAGAGTTAGATTTTAAGCTAGCATATCCTTGAGCTACCTTGCACAGCACCAGGTTTTTGCAACAAAACAGCTTCTCTGGTTGCTTGTCAGTAAGATGCCTTTGCACCAGCCCTAATTTGGATATTTGTTTGAGGCTTCTTCAAGCAAATAGTAGGTCCTGATGCCATGCTCTGGCTTGCAGGAAAACTGGAGCTTCGTCCCAAACTCTGAGTTACTTAGTGATTTTACATTTTTCTATGCTCTGGTTTTCTTTCTTGCAGTTGGAGTAGGAAAGGAAAAGACCTCTGGGCTGGGGCTTTCTGTGTGTCTTGGGGACGCTCCAGCAAGTATCTTCTCACAGGTTAATAGCAGCAGAAGGACACATGAAGAGCTCTGCCATAGCCCTGCAGCACTGCATGACCACAAGCAAGCCACGTCCCTCCCATGTTTCCTTCCAAAATTTCACCAGGCTGGACCCTGCTTGTCCTGCTATGTCAGTGCTTCACCTAGAAACTCTCCTCAGCAGAAAGGGGTGGGGTTCTCATCAGCATAAGTTAGTTGCTTTTAGATATGTGGTTTCTGGTCAACAGTTATGGTTTCATCTGCTTGGCATCTGCACTGAGAAGCGCTGGGGCCGATGCTGCTGATCTCCACAACCTCTGCCTGCAGGTCTGGGCAGGAGGAGGAGCTGAGTTCATGTCTGAGGAGACTGACCAGCCCCAAGTGATGGTATCTGAGGGGCAGAGTCCACTGTCCTCCTCCAAAGCCACAGAAATGAGGCAGAACTTCTCTCATTTGGTAACAACTCAAGTGCTCTGGAGTCCTGAAGGTTGCATGGATGTGGGGTGGAAGGCAGTAGGCAGAAAGGAAAGGCCTTGCTCACAAGAATGAACAGAGAGAAATCAGATACACACAAACTACAACACTTGTATGCACATGTTATCCAAGACCTGGCAGCCATGAGTGCTCCTGAATGGATGTGGAGCCATAAGGCCTTGTGAATGAGCAGAGAGAGAAGGGGCAGGAGTATTTATCAAAACAAAAAACAAACAGAAAACCCAAAGTGGGATATCATGAACAAGCCAGGGGTGGGAATGTGCAATTTCTTAAACTGATTTGAAAGACTCCAATATACTATGAAGAAAAATACAATGTTTTGGAAGTTAAAATGTGACTTTCTTAGCAGCTCCTGAAGCAGCAGTGTAGGACAAGACATGAAGAATAATTTGTTCCTGATTTCTCAGAAGAAATTATGGCAGCATTTAACTCCCAGACATCCTAGCCACAAACAGAAATAAAAGCAGTTACGGTTGTGTCTGCCTGCAGCAGAGGGACTGCATGCCTGGTGAGATACGATGAAGCTTCCCCATGCCCATGCAGCAGCACCAGGGAAACAGCAGCTTGCCATTCCCTAAGCAGGTCACTGTGGCATGATGCTTGTGTCCCCTTGCCATGCTGAATTTTCTGTTAAACCTGTATAATGTATGTATTCTGAACACAGCTTAACACTACATCTGCCATGTGTTCTGCACTCCTAACCTCACCATCCCATAAAATCTCAGTGGAAATGGCACCATGGCCCTAAAGGGTAAGAACAGTCCAGCTATGGGAGTTACCCTGCTGTCGTACCAAGACACAGTCATGGGGGTAACTAACACCCCAAGGGCCAAAGGGCAGACTTGGATCTTCCTCTGGGCAATGTTCTTCACCTAAACTTAGTCCTCAATTGGTTCCTGACCTACTTAATACTCCTGTGACTCATGTGTTAGGGAGGTGAATTGCTATTTCCAATTAAGTTGTATTTGCATTGATATCTCTATCATAAAGTCTGGGAGACTTGCAATAAGAGTGAGTTTTATCTCACAGACTATCTTATTGCTTCAGACTGAGGTGCAGGACTCTACTAAAAATATTAAAAGTCCAGTAGTGGTGTTTCATCTCTGAAAACAAAACTCTTCTTTCTAAGTACAAAGTAGGAGGTTTTCAAAACTCTTCAAAAGGCTGATAATAATAGACTTCATTTTACATATATATACTTAATAGGAGTGATGACTAAATGTGGTTAGGAGTGAAATGTCACTCACTTTTCTTCTCTCTTTAACAGCTCCATCCAAATTTCTTTTTGCACCTGTGAAGTGTTAGGTCGGTATGCCTATGTACACCTAAAGAACATGGCCTGGAGTGGAACACCTCTGTTTTCTCTCACAACATTTATTCTGCATTCATGTATTTGCACCAAATAATGAAAAAGAATCAAACCCAACCCTGTGATGGTTTTATACTCTTCTCTGATCAGAGATGAGCAAGAGAAAAGGGTTTCTCTTGAGAGAGAGTGAAGAAGGAGTTAAGCAGTTTCAAAACAAGCTGGGCACAACTGATGTCAGATTTTTGTCTTACAATGGCATCTATTTGCTTTCCCAGCAAGCAGTATGTGAATCACTGGGCACTGCATTGTTCCAAGAATAGCAGAAGATGGCACATATCTTAGGAGAGGATAGATTTTCTTACACCTCCTCATTGGTTGGAAACTCCTGCTTATTAACTCCAGAGAAAAATCCAAGCAGAAACTCCAGAAAAAAACCAAAAAAACCCCCAAACCTGTTCTGTTGGGTTCTGTTGTTTTATTATTCAACTTTTGCTTTCTTGGTGTCTGTCTCTGAAGGAATTGGCCCAGCTCTACTCTCTGCACCTTCCTAGTGTCCCTGTAATCATGTGTTTTCCACATAAGATTAAAAGAAAATCAGCATAATGAAAACTATGACTGTCCTCTCAATTTTCTGAAAGCCTCCTCTGGACATTCTGAGAAACTGCAGGGGGAGGAAAAGCAAAAATCCTGACTGTTTTTCCAATTGGCTATTTTGAATTATTACAGATATGAGGACTTGTAGCAAAGTTAAGAAAACAGAAAACCTACTAAGTTTAAAAAGAAATTTAATGCTGAACTTGCCAAAACAGACCTGCTGACTGAAAATAAGTTCTTAGTGCAGCCACACTCGGTTCACATGCATTTTTATTAAAGCCCCTGAGCAGTCTCTGTATTCATTTCCCATGCAGGCCCAGTTGTTTCTATGTTCTCTCTCTCTATATATATATGCAGTAGCCCCCCTGGTGCTTGCTCCAGGTGAGCTGAGGTGGCAGCAGGTAGGAACATAGCTACACCTTGCATGAGCAAAAGGGAACTTAATTAGTGCCAGGTGGCATTTCCAAATTTGGAACACATTTCAGAGAAACAATTCTGGGCGGTAATGCCACAGTGCTTTTAAACTCCCAGCTAAAAGCACGACTTGGGTTATTTTTATATCTTCTTTGGAAGCAAAAGTCACCGGGAGCCGCCTTCCACCTTGGCACGGGGAGCCGGCAGCTCTGAGGAGCATCCCAGCACAGAGATACAGGTACTCACCCGTCATCAGTGTGTAGTAATTTGGGTAAGAGAGGCTGGGGAAGTCTGGGGTCATGTAATCCACCTTCACCCCCATGTTCACAATGTCCCGAAAGCCCGGCAGACCCTCCAGCTCGCTGTCATCAATGTAGTCGAAGCGAAAGCCGTCGAGCAGGAACACCAGGAGCTTGCGGTGGCCCGAGGAGGCGGCGGGAAGCGGCAGGAGGGCGGCGAGGGCAGCGGCCAGGAGGGCGGCGAGGAGGCTGCGGCTCTCCATGGCAGGCTGAGGGATCTGAGGGATCTGAGCGGCTCCGGGCCGGCCCTGCCGCTGCTGCCCCTCCGCTCCAGCGCCCGCGTTAAAGCTACAGCGCTGCCCGGCGGGCGTGGGAGGTCACTGGTTAATTGCAGGCAGATGATTAACCTCGAGCTGAGGGAAGAGCTTGGTCCTGCCCAGCTGCAGGAAAAAATGCTTCGCGTCGGTGGGGAACACCCAGCATAAAAGTAACCGGAGCCTCTCCGGACGCTCCGCAGACGCTCCCGAGGCGGTGCGGGCACGCTGCCCGACGGCCCCGGCCAGGAGGGGCCCGGCGCGCTCCCACCGCCGGCACGGCTCGGCACGGCACGGCTCGGCACGGAGCGCAGCCCGCTTACCGCCCAGCCCCGCGCCGAGCTGGGGGCTCGCAGAGAGGGGTTGCAGCCTTTGGAACACAGCCTCACATCCCCAGCAGCGCGAACGCCGGCTTCCTTCGCTTCTCTCCGGCTGGGGCTTCTGATAGAACTCAGAGCGAGGTTAAGACAAAGCATCTCCCACCTGGATGTGCTGAGTTGATGGCATGGCGGTATCGCAGAGCTCCAGCTGAGCAGGCTCTCCTCTACCTGGATGCAACTCCCTGCAAAGGTCCCTGTCCTCTCGGTTTCCTCTGTGCTGCCCTGCTCCTGATGTACCAGCAGAAAAATCTAGCTTCAGCTAGATAATAATTGATACATGTATTTTCTGGCCGTTGAAATTATTTAGATATTCAGTGCTGGATAGCGCCTAATTTCATATTAAAAATTAAAAAATGCTTGCATTTTAGTCACGAGTCACCACCAGGTGCCTCTTCTTCACAAAAACCTAACTATACCTCTAATGCAATGCCTGCACCTGTTGTACACCATAACTACACTTTACTTTCTTTACTTTATTTCTTTTTCCCAAATAAAAGAATTTCATTGCATTGCTAACATTGTCCAACTGTGGGAAATGCCTTTTGCAGATGTTTCCACGGGGGAAGGTTGCAATAGCTGGCCACCACCCCAGTGTGGGCATCTGAACTTCTCCTTGCTCCTTACAAATCTCCTCGTAGCACATCCAGTTACCTCTTGCCAAATACTGGGTTGGTGCAAGCTCAGCAAGACAGCTGTCAGCCCCATTTGCCCCAAACACTTATTTAGCCCCTTGCAAACCCTCCTCGTGTCCTGACCTGCCTTTTGCACAATGTTGGACAGGGTGCTGGTGCCCATGAGCCAAAGCTGCTGCCTGCAGGTCACTGCTCCCAGGACATGGCTGGGGATGTTCTATTCATGCCTTCCTCCCACAGGGCTTCCTGCTCCAGAAAAAAGATGCCCTGTCAGGGAAGGGGTGCTGGAACTTTCTGTAGGAGGTAGACATTCTAGGAAGGTGGAAGAGGATGGAGTATGCGTGCAGCCCAGCAGAACTGCACAGGCCCTTCAGCTACCGGCGCTTTTGTTCACCTTCTCAGTAGAATTCCTCATGCTTCCTCCCCATCAGCAGACTAAATGCGCTCTTTGTCGACATCTCCCGCTCTGTCATGTGCCCAGCCACATTTTTTCCCCTTTTTTTTCATGTGCCCCTTTTTCCATTCCCATCTTGGAGTCCAGCACTTGGGAGATACCCTCACATCAGTTAAACCTGAGGCAAGAACTTGGAGCATTTCTAAGCTGCAGCTCAGGGATCTTTAAAGAAACATAGGGACCTAGCCATTCGGGGCTTTGTCCCTCTTCACATAATGTTTACTTTGGAAGCCTTGCATTGCTAGCTATCATCATCTTGACAACTTTAATTCTATGTTTTGACTTTTCTTATCTTGCTTGGCTGTAGCTAATTTGTTTTCTCACAGTGCAGCAGCAGTTTCCTCAGCAAAAACCAACCTGGGGTCACACAGCTGTGCCACACCTTGTGTCAGAGACAGCTGAGCCCTGGGGCCATCCATAAAGCTTACTGCCCACAAGAGGGAAATCTGGACCATGATCCCCTGGGATGATTAAAGGCCTGGTCCCCTGAGCAGACATGGGCATGCTCGAGCCTGGATGTGGAAGGAGCACACACCAATCCTGTGTGCGAGGGACAGGCGCGAGGCTGCGTGACCGGGCGGTTGGTCCGTGCTCGGCCGGCGTCCCAGCCTGTGCAAGGCTGCCCCTGCCCTGCCCCCAGGGACGAGCTGCAGCTGCACCAGGCTGCTGGAGACGTGACAGCCTGGGCACTGCTCTGGGCAGCTGCCTGCCTGAGGGATGGCACGTGCTGCCTGGCACACCTATGGAGAGTCACCGCTCTTCTCAGCCAGCTCCAGACCCCACGGGGTCTCAGCCAAGAATCTGCCACTTCATCCACCTCCTGAGGGGAATGTGCACATCCTCCTTCTGCTGGCCCTGGCTGGGCTGCCAGGATGGGAGGTAGCCCTGCAGAACTTGTGTTCAGATACAGCACTTCTACTAGTGCTCACTGTGGATTTTCACTACAGCAAAACCTGGATGTTATGGGCTTGGAGCCACCTGTAGTGTCATGTCTTGGCCAAGCCACTGTGGTAATTTATTGTGTCCATACTTATGTTGAATGAACTCAGAAACATGTCCAGAAATGGGAAGGGAAATATTATTATGCACCTCTTGGCAGACCCACGAGGTCATTCACATTGATGTCTTGGCTTGGCCTCTGATGTGTGGCCTCTGGGCTTAGCAGCAGGGCTCAGCAGCAGCAGCAGCTGCTGCCCGTGAAGGAATGGGATAATAAAGGAGAGACAGTAAAGTGTCTGAGATGGACTCTCACCTTGAAAGGATGACCAGGTTTTTGAGGTGGTTAGACCAAGAAGGCAGGCTTCTATCATGAGATGGTACAAAATATATGTCTTCTTAACCTTATGAAATAATGCCTTCCTTTCAAAAGGGTTGCAATCTTTTATTTAACAGCCCCTTAAGAGAAAGCTCTATCTGAGCTGACAGTGGCATGAGCAACAATTGGAGCAAGGTACCAGAGCTCAAAGTCTGCCTTTAGAATTGGAATTTACAGGTTTCCACTCAACAAATAAGAGTAAGGCCTGAGAGGGGTTAAAGGACTAGTGAGCCATGTAACCATGATGCTGTATAATACCAACTTGTGTTTTGACAGACAATCCCCCTGAAGAGTGGGACTGGAGCCAAACAGTCTCTAGCTTGGCAGAGACAGATCCTAGCAATACATTTCATTGATTCCAAGCAATGTTGATTTGCTTTGGTTCACATTCATTTGTAAGCACCCTGTCTGCACAAAGCCCCAGATGGTCGTGGAGACTCCAGCACAACAATATTTTGATACAAATGCTCTTACAAAAGCTAACAGAGCCTGAGCTGGTGTCTAGGGAGAACAGTGCTCACTAGTTAGCTGTTAGACAGGGTTTAGGAAGAAGCATGCATAAAGGAAAGAAAATCCCTCAACCCAAATTGAACATGAGGAGATACCCCATTGATCCAAAATTATTTGAGAAGATATCCTCAGCCACTTGGATTGTTCAAGAAATCCTCTTGGCAGAAACTGCCTCCAGTGTCCTTGAATCTATCATTTTTTTTCCCTAGTCCTACAGAAATCACAAACATAACAATAGAAATGAAAGAAAATTCTTTGGGCTGACACCAATAGCTCAATCTGCCCTGTCAGATACAAGCCTTACACAGCCTTCCTGGCAGTGCAACTCTGTCTGTGCTCTTAGGTCCAGGAGCACATGCAAGAACAACAGCTGCTAAAAGAAAACATAATTTCCCTTTTCCCCAATGAACTAGAAAATCTAAGAGGAAAACTTGTCCTTCTTTCTCTTCTGAAAGAAAGAAGAGAAACCATAACAGGACTCATTGACAGCTTGAAGTTCCTTTTCAGTTCCTGTTCTCCTTCACACACAGCAGTAGTTGAACACTTTGGCCAATACAGCCTGACTAGTTTGGTTGTTTCTTTTCTGTCATTAGAGAAGAATGCAGGCCACATCCAGACATATAAGCCTTGAGCTGCTTGCTTTTCTTGGAAGAAGGGAGTTTGTGCCAGTCTGAAGTTTTGATCCTGCTGGTCTAAGGTTCTTCTTCCTCTTCTGCCCACCAAGCCCAAGATAAAAAAGTCACAGGTGGTACTAGGCCCACTGCTGCCTTCCACAGAAAACCTCTGGCAGTATGTGTATCAGCTTCTGAGCTGATAGAAGGGCTTACCTTGGTAGAGGTCTTGGCCTGCAGGGGTTTAGTATCCCTTTCTTTGCTCTCCTGCCCTGTGCATTCTCACAAATGCTTCTGCGTGGAGGTGTGCATTAGGCAAAGCATCTGCTGTCCCTTCAGCTCTTCCTGGATGATACTTTATGTCAAGTCAGTTATTTCTGTGATCTTGTGGTATGCAGTAGTTCATCCACGAGGAATTCAAGACATAAGTGGTTTGCTCTTGCTGTCAGTCATGTACAGGTATATATGATAAAGTCACACACTTGTTAGCTACAGAGCATTTCAAAGCCAGAAACTCCAGTTTTCCTGGAGAAAAGCAGGGATCTTTCCCTATTTCTTGAGGCAAAGACCTAACTATCTGATATGAGACTTGCCTTACTGAAAACTTTCACATGCTGAATAAGAATTACATCAAAGTAGGACAGTGACCACCCTGACTGACAGCCAGGGGCTGTTTAGTGTTCTTTGAAGTGCCTCAATTCAGGCAATTGTGACATTTAGAGAACACCTCTCCAAATCTCACTCTGTCTTTCACTACAACAGTCACAGGTCATATCAATAACTTTCCTAGTTGAAGATCTCCTTCTTGGGCATGAAGAAATTTAATGAATTAGTGGAGACCCCTCCATGGCTCCCAGTTTCCTTGCAAGGAGCTGCATGGGCTTGGTACATCATTGTCAGCACTGCTCTGTGCATGCTCCCTGACAATGGTGTCCTTGGGGAACAGGCTGTGCTTTCATTAAGTGTAACTAGAATGAACAAAGAGGGTGGCTCTTGGCACCATAGCCCTGCTGGGGTGTGCAAGGCCTTTTGCCTGGAAACCCTGAC